TGAGACGTTCAGTTTCACCATAGTGCATCCTGTCTCACCATAGTGCATCGGCGTGAGTCAAGCAGAACGGTCTGAGACTCCATAGAAGAGCAATAAAGCTGCCGATTCCTTTTGCGCATATAGTTGTGCCGGGACATCGCTGAATGTGATCTGTCACAGTCATTAGTCATAGTTCTTGAATGCTTTGCGGGTCCGCATTGTGCAGCTAGGTTTGCATGGAGTCAGGGCCCCGGGATGGGATGGATTACATGGATAGGCAGGCTGCTACCACAAAGAGACAAATCGATATATTTTATATTGAGATAGAGATAGAGATATGATATAAAGATGGATGTATGACTGTTAATATCTAGAGATGGATGTATGAGTGTTAAGATTAGAGTTTCCATTCCAGTCACAGTCAGGAGTCAGGACCCTAAACCCAAAAAGAACCAACTTATATCATATTGTAATACTGTGTGTGTCCCAGCCCAGAAACGGTCGCCGCCTGCCAGGTCCGCCCGTTTATACTTCTTTTTGGGGAGATGGCAAACCACCTTGGTTGGGGGGCCCCAAAGCACATAGCCCTCATGACATGTTCATGGATGCTGGTTTCGAGTCACATGGAAATAGAACTTCGCCGCGCCACCCCGTCGGATTGCTGAGGTGGCCACGACAACGATGACTTCGCTGTGAGTACATGGGCCGGCCTGTGTGTAAAAGCGTCTGTGTGTACAAGTGATTGTGTGTAAAGGCTTCTGTGTGTAAAAGCGTATGCGTGTAAAAGCGTTTGTGTGTAAAAGTGTTTGTGTAAAAGTGTTTGTGTGTACAAGTGCCTGTGTGTAAAAGCGTCTATGTGTAAAAGCTTCTGTGTGTACAAGCGTTTGTGTGTAAAAGCAGCTCCTGTGTGTAAAAGGGTCTGTGTGTAAAAGTGTCTGTGTGTAAAGGCTTCTGTGTGTAAAAGTGTCTGTGTAGAAGCGTCTGTGTGTAAAAGCTTCTGTATGTAAAAGCTTCTGTGTGCAAAAGTTTCTGTATGTAAAAGCTTCTGTGTGTAAAAGCTTCTGTGGGTAAAAGCTTCTGTGGGTAAAAGCTTTGTGTGTAAAAGCGTCTGTGTGTAAAAGTGTTTGCGATGCAAACTATTGTCTTGCACTTCTCACTATTTTGTCTTGATACTCCTCTTCTCGACTGCCTATAACACAGCTTTCATATATCGTTTCTAATATTGCGTCTCCATACTAACAAGAGAAGACCCTGCTCCTCTACGCTCTCGGGCCATCCGTCGTCTAGTTTGGTTGTTTTATTTGATTTGCCTGCTTTTATGGACCAACTGTGTCCTTGTACAAATGTCTTTTCGACAGCTTATGCTCATGTAAGGACCGAGCCTCAGAGCGACATCGGCCGAACTCGAGGAAAAAAAAAGGGCCGAAGCCTTTGTTGCCATTGAGGAGAAGTGAAGACAGCCAAGCCGTCACAACACACCATGCCACAGGCAACAGGCATGACAACCGAGCCGTCGCAAATTCAACCAGCGACCCAGAGGGAGAGACCAGCAGAATACTGGACCAGAAGGCACTAGAGGACCAAGAGTGGGCAGGACAGGGGGGGGAACGAAGCCAGGAGAGAGCGAGCCAGCCGAAGCAACCCCACACCGAAAGCAGAGACGAGCAAGGCAACCGAGGAAGAGACAACAAAAACAACCAAAGGCCAACACGAACCAACACCACAAAGATATGCAGGTGGCAGGTGTGACTTGGAATTATCATAGGTGAAGGTTTGTGGGTCGTCGGTGCGCTTCCTCTACAAGGAGATTTGCAGGTCGCAGGTGTGACCTGGAAGGGTCGTAGGTGGAGGTTTGAGGGTTGTGGGCGGGCTTGCAGGGTTGCAGGGTGTACCTTACAGACCGTGGTGTGGTACACCTTAAACACCGTGGTGGTGGTACACCTCAAACAGTGGTGTGGTTCACCTTAAACACCGGGGGTGTGGTACACCTTAAACACCGGTGTGGTTCACCTTAAACACCAGGGGTGTGGTACACCTTAAACACCAGGAGTGTGGTACACCTTAAACACCGGTGTGGTTCACGTGCGGTACACCTTAAACACCGGTGTGGTTCACCTTAAACACCAGAGGTGTGGTACACCTTAAATATCGGTGCCCCTTTTGATGTTACTAGGGAGGCCCTTTGGAGCGAAGCCGGTTTTGAGAAGGTTTTCCGGACCAAGAATTGGGTCCGTTAGAGCAAGCAGTTTTGTAGATGATTTTGTTTCTTGTTGGGGCAAGCGGGGTTCATATCGGTTGCTGCTTGAACCCACTTGAAGTTAGCTTCTTATTATTTCGTTGCGTCTGGTGGCTTGATTGTTTGCCGCTAAAAGAAGGCCCATCAGCCTTTTGCAGCCCTTAGGTGATTGCTGGAAGTGTTTCTTGCCGTTGAGAAGTTTGTGGGTTTTCGCGCAGGTGGCCGGCTTCCATTTGAATGATTGTATTGAATACTTTACTGCCCCTTGTTGGCCCCCCTTGCCCCTCTAGACTCCTACCGAAGTTTTCAGCCCAGAAAGAACATGAATAATGATCTTTTCAGTCAATCCCGTTATTAATTAATAGTATAAATTTAAAACGGGATGGAGTAGGAATCTGCTTAGGAAAATATGTGGCAAGGTGACGTATTGAAGGCTTTCTTACTCCGCCATCGTTTCGATATCGTGTCAATTACATTGGGTAAGTGAATTAAAACATAGCACGGAGTAGCGGAGTAGCGCGGAGTAGCGAAGGATTGGTGAATATTGCCTGGGTGGTGCTGCATGGCAAATCGCCACATTGGAGCCAGGGAACGGAGACAGCTGATACCACATGTGCGCTTTCAGGTTCCATTTCTGGGGCCGGAAAGTCAATTGAAATCAGGCTTCGCATGTGCGGGCCTCCTCTGTTCCAACTCTATATGCTGGTTGCTTAAATAAACGCAGTTGTAATTTTTTGTTTGTTGCACGGGTCGGCCTTTGCTGTGGATTTTGCGATTTTGCGGTCTCATTTTTGGTACCGCCAGACGGTCCCAAAAATGGGACCGTGAAAGTGCTTTTCTTTTGTTCTTTTACTAAGCTGTGCATGTGGTCCCAAAAATGGGACCGCCAGGTGGTCCCATTTTTGGGACCGTGTTTGGGTTCATTTTTTAAAGTTTTTTGTATCAGGGTTGAAGAAAGCGCAATGTTTTGGTTTCAATGAAATTTTGTGGCTTATGGCGACCGGACGGGCAACTGTTATTCCGAGGTTACATTGAGGTTTGCTTAGAAGTCAGCTTGGGGTTTATGTTTGGGTGAGCTGGAGCTCACCGAGGTCAGCCTGAGGTTAGCTTGGACGTTGAAGCACGTTTGAGGTCGAGGTCACCTAAACCTCAGCGCCGGCCCCTTGTCCCAGCAGCGAAGGTGGTGAAAGGGTGTTTTGTGTTGGGGTGCCTTATATAACAAGGTTCCTGTCTGGCTCGTTCTTTCTGTGCCCGTCGCCTTCTACACTTCCTAGCATGCGCTGTCTCCCTTTCTCCTCCGTGCTTTTTTCAGCTTCCAATGTTTGACGTGGACTGAGATGTTTTGATTTTGCAAACCAAATGCCTTTTAGTATTATTCTATTGGTGGGATGTTGTTTCACTTGTGATGTCAGTTTTCTGTCTCTGTCTTTCTCTGTCTTTCTCTGTCTTTCTCTGTCTTTCTCTCTCTCTCTCTCTCTCTCTCTGTCTCTCTCTCTCTCTCTCTCTCTCTCTGTCTGTCAGTGCCCATGCAGGCGCTGCTGCAAGAGCTAGAAGCCTTGGAGACGCAGCGGTCTTCTCTCCGCAAGGTGGGGGGATGCTGGTTTTAGAGGCCGTGGGCCTGTTTTGTTTAAGTGGTGGTGAGTTGCAGGCTATCAAGGAGAACCGGAAGCCGAACAGGTTGGCGCAGAAGCGCAGGAAGAATTTGCTCAAGGCAGACATTTTCTTTTGCAGTTGTCTTTTCCTTGGTGGTAGTTCCATCACTCTATCTCGTGCTGATCTCCAGCTGCTCATCACGGCCAAAGAGAAGGAAGCAGCTGAGGCAGGAGAGGCGCAGCCCACAGGCGCCAGCTGTGGCTGTTCTAGGACTCTTGGGTCAACAATCAAAAGCTGCTTTAGATGTTTGTTGGAATTGCTCACTTCCATTTCCTCCGCAGTGCAACATCATCATCGTTCCCTCCTCTTTCTTACGCAAGCACACATAGTCCTATGTCACTTGCTTGTGACAGGATGATGACGCCCACCTTCGAAAAGGCAGCAGTGAGCTAGGGAATCGTATGCGCCATTGCATTGGCTTGGCGTCAGGGTTGTGGCAGAGAGCAGCTAAAGCCAAGCCATTTACAGGGTGATGGCGGCAACAAGACTAGCGTTGTCAATACACTCTGACAGACAGGGAAAAGTTAGTTGGGGAACGCCTGCGGCGAGTCTGACTGCAGCAACGGAACTGTTCTCTATTTATTGCATTTTAGAGTTTAGGGGAAGTGTGCATGTCTTTGGCTTTTCACAAGAATTCTTCCTTCTCGTCTTTTTTCATCGGCCTTCCGCCTTCTCGATATCCACTGACAAGCACTGACTGCGTGAGATGTTTTCCAAGTGTTGATTTTTCATGTATCTGAGCGAACTGGGGAGTTTTCCTTTCAGTGCGTGGGTGGAATTGGTTTCATCATTTTTGGAAACGCTTTGGTTGTGTACGTGCAACTATACTTTTGTGGGACCAGCTGCCAAGTTTCTCGCAGTGTTTTGATGAAGAGTTTTGGCGTTTTTGCGTGCGAAGTTTTGGATGCAGATTTGCCTTGACAGGCACGGCAAAGTTGTGTGCATGCTGGCTCAAGCAAATTTGGCAATGGTCTGACGAGTTCTAACAGTATTGTTGCTGAGAAGCAGTTGTTCACATGTAGGCGTGTAATGGATCAGGGGCATTAGTGACCTGACTTCCTGGAAATAGAAGTTTGGACACCCTCTCAACGCCATTCAGCCAGTGCATCTTTGTAGCTTTTCCTGTGGAGCCATGGACCAGAAACGTGTGACAACGCAAAGGAAACGGTCTGCCTGCGGGCAATTGAGAACTTTGGCCCTGGAGTTGGGCGTTGAAGAAGGCAATGCTCGTCTTGACATGACAATTCAGCAGTTTGATTCCTTGGCAAATGATTTGGAAATGCGCTGCACCACACCACAGCAGCGTGGGAAGTTGCGGCAAGTTGTAGCTCACTTACACAATCGCCCTGCAGTGCCCCCTTTGCCTGGCTCAGTACCGGCGGCTGCTCCACGCGAACCAGAAGACAGAGAAGCGGCAGCGGCTGGACGGCAGTTCCGGCTGCGGTCCCAAGGCTGTTTGTTCACTTAAAATTCAAGCGACTTTGGGGAGCACATGTGGGCAGACTTCCTAGCTTGGATTGGAACATTGGAGTTTCTGAGGCGCTGGAGTGCGACAATGGAGCAGTCTCTCAAGTCTGAAGAGCCTGGCAGGGTCCATTTGCATGTTTTCATGGAATTTGGGCAGGCGGTAGCTTGGACATCTTTGCGGTGTGTCGTCTTTATGGGTGTGACGCGGCTCCTTGTACTGCCCGTGGCCCTCGTCTTCGCCAAGCTTTGGACCACGGCCACTTTTATGTCTATGCCAGCCAGGTTGGCACGCTGAGAGTGGAGACTTCTGTTGGGACTCCTCCTGTAAGGAGGATACAAACCTTATTCCTAAAAGAAAAATTTTGGGTGATCCAAAATTAGCAACTGGCGTTTGGTGAACACATGCGTTTAAACACTGTGCCAAACAACTTGAAAACTTTTTGAGGTTTTCTTTGAACTGTTTGTCCTGTTTCAACTGTCCATGGTTGTACTGTTTGTTTAACATATCGATGTTTTACAGTACTCCACTTTTGACCTCTGTGTGAAACACATCTGAATTTTATATTGCATGAGAACCATTTTGGCTTAAGGGAGGGTTGTGGTGGGACCATTCGTGTATTTTTACTCGTTGATGAGCAATGGGGTTATCGTTTGAGATGACTGTCTTTGCTACGGACGTTTCAGTGGATGTCGATGTGCCTGATGGTAATGACAGTTCTGCACTCAGAGAACATGCTGCAGTTGAAAACGCAGCACTGGAAGCATTACACTGGTTTTCGTTGCAAGAAGAAATTGCAATTACAGAAGGTGCTGTTTCTAGGAACAGTTTGTTTGCAGGCACCACTTCAGGATCTGATGGTTTTGCTTTAGATGCAGATTTTGTTCAAGTCTTGCCCATGACAGACAGTGCACATGATGTCAGCGTGTTGGAGGGCTATTCAGCAGATAATGCGTTCAGCTACGCAAGATCCAGACTGGAGCCACAAGGCATTCAACACTTCTGGGAGTCTGGTTTTTTGGAACGACCTTTTCGATCCTAGCAAGACCTTTCTCAGCTCTTTTGACACAACTTCAAACGTCCTGTTGATCCTGTTCATGGAGATGTTCATGAAGCTTTTGAACAACAAACGGAACGTAAACCGAAGGCTGCAAAACTGAATGCAACGTTCATGGACCATGTCAGGGATGCTAGCATTATGAATGGAAGGACAAGAGGAAAGCAGATTGGCAAACAGCCATATTCCGATGGCACTCCATGTTGGGCACCTGGTCGACAGACGTTCAAGTGGTTTCGCAGATTTTTGGTAGAGAAAGGTTTCAAGGAACAGGCGCAAAATTTTTGGTTGACATCTTTTACACAAAGCCCCATCGACCATTTTTAAACGATGCAGGAGCATGTCAAAGATGACACGTTACTTTGTTGACATGGGACGAGTTTCTCCGTGTGGGGAGCCGGACGTCTATGAGTTCCTGTGTGTCGAACGCGGCAATGGTGCTCCAATTTCAAGGTTGAAGAGTTACATAGAAGTTCTCACATTCTGTCGACATGTTTTGGGTGTTGTGGCATTCGATGATACTACATGCAACAGACGATGTCAGGGTGTGGCAGCCTTAGACCTGAACCACATCGTGAGACAAGCAGACCCATGACTGTCAGACAACTTGAAACTTTGCACCACATTTTATTCAATGATGACGAACTGTGGAATCGAGTTTTGTGGCATGTTGCTCTTTTGTGCATATGCTCGACCACGATGGAGCGACGCACAGCATGGTGAGATGCGCATCGAAGACGGGGACTCGTCGGGAGCTTGTGCTTATTTGGAAGTGGCGACAGGGGTGCATAAAACTGCAAAGGCCTTAAAACTGAAACATCAGTACCTCCCACTTGTTGCTCCATGTGTAGGAGTTGTAGAAGGCAATTGGGGTGAAGAATGGTGCAATTGCAGGAAAAAACTTGGCTGCTTGATTTGACAGTTTATCCCTTGATGCCAACGCCTTATGCTAGCCAATTGCCAACAGTGAGACCTTTGAGCTCGACAGAGGATGCTCTTTTGAGGAATGTCTGAGCCTTGGATTCCACACCCATAATTTAAAGATGGCTTTGTGTTACTCAAGAGACGGTGCTGCACGACCACTGCGAGTCTTGGAGCAGTTTCTTAGGGAGGTGAGGGAAAAGATTGTTAACCCGGATGACACCAGAAGTGGCCGACTCAGAATGACTCAGAGTTCAGGCAGTGACTTACACAAGACTGCAACAGAAAACGTGATTGACATTTTTAAGTTTTTCACCGTTGCAACCCGTTGTTGAAAATGCTGAGAAAGCAGATGGAAATGAAATGGCTGACAACCTCGAAGAAGTTTCAGTCAGTGACCATGCAACGACAGGCAGCGATACAGAGAGTGACATCGACACGAAGGTCAGGCCAAAAGTGTCCTACAAGGACATCCAGGCGCCAGATGGAACCTACTTGCACCAACATGCAAAGTTAAAGACATTGCATTTGATGAAGTCTGAAAACAGACGGGTCTTCTGTGTGGACGCACGACTAACAGCAGTTACAAGATTGCTGAAGGGCGCCATGCTTTTGATACACCTAAGTGCCGTCAGTGCTTTAGTGCAAAGCTAGACTAAGACTGAGTGGCAAAACGGTGAGGCCTTTTCGTTTTCAGCACATGTTGTTGTTGCGTGGAGTGTGCATGCCAGGCAACAGGTGCAGGTGTCCATTTTGATGTCAACAGATGTTTTTCAGATCTTGCATATGACAAATTTCAACAGGTATCAGGTCAAGGTGATGTCGTGATTCTCACTCAGATTTATTCCGTTTGAAATTTCAACCATTGAATTTTTGGTGCAACTTGAAACTCAGACTTGTCGGTTGGCAATGATTCAGCCTTGCGCAACGACGAGAGAGAGGATCAAGGAAGTTGGCACATGAACCTTTAGTGGGCCAAAGGTGCGTGACATGCCTTTTTGCAATTTCAGTTTCATTTTCATTTCGAAGCGTCATGATGGGATGTTTGCATCAGCATGACCAACCGGGCAGATGTTGCATTGCGAAATTCCATGCTATCCCTTTTTCAGATGCAAGTTCTTTTTCACGTCATGGGCATGCAGAATCTCTGACACTTGTAGTTGGACTTCAGTCAGAACCAAAGCTATGGCCTTGGTAGATTCTGAAGCTGCCTTTGCAAGTCACTGCGATGCCATTGACAAAAGCCGAGATCTCTTGAACATGTGCGTTCAAGCTGATCTGACAACGTTTATGCGTATGGCATTCGCCGTTGGCACACCGCAGATGCCGGTGAGTGAAGAAAGTTTCAAAACGTTTGCAACTGATTTGAACGGTGGAACCGAACTTTCTATTACAATGATGTCCTTGCTGCGGAGGTTACACTTCGAAGCAGTTACAATGGTGGTGGCGCATTTGAAAACAAACGTGACAACAGATGCTGGGGTGGAAGGGTCCAGGAAACTACCACCTGTAGAAAGGGTGGCAAGACTGCAGGGGCAACAGGTTCGCCTGAAGGGCCTTACAATCAAGGGAGAAACGCAGCCATCTTACGCCTTGATCGATTTGATTGCAGGCATCTGTGATAGTGGTTCAATTGTTTGGGTGCCGCCGAGCAAGTGCACCAATAGAGACTCAGAGGTGCAACAAAGCCTGAAAGAAAAACCTACAGCTTTGACCGTGGAGCAGCAGACGCTGAAGCTTGCAGCTGGTGAGCCCAAGATCAGAGCCGATACGTCCAATGGGCTCTTGATGCAATGGGCCTTACAAAGACGTGGATCAGAATTTGACCAATGCAAACTCATATCGAATGACATCCACGACAAGTGGGCACAGGCTTTGCTCATGCAGTTGACACGTGAGGCGCCGAGTGGCTATGCAAGGATGACCATGGAGCAAATCCTACGAGCAGACAAGGAATTTTTTACCTTGATGTCGCAAGAGCATACAGGGCCTTTCAATGCTGGACCCAAAGGAGAGTTGCCTTTGGATTTGTTGATGACACAACTGATGCGCTACCCTCGCATCAACTTACACCGGCTTCCTCTTCCCAGTGCTTCAGCCAGAGCTGCATCAAGTTCACATGTTGACGAAGGGGCCCCCGAAGCCATCAGTGCCAAGACCCATACAGCCGAGGAAGAAAGCACGCGTTTCTGCCAAAGCTCGTGCAAACTGTCCTGATGAACACAAGGGTTTTGGCCAGTTTGATGACAAGGGTACTCCTATTTGTTGGGCCTTCAACCAAAGCAAAGGATGTCAGGAGGAAACAAAGGGTGGCAGATGCAAGAAAGGCATGCACGTGTGTAGCAAGTGCAAACGTAACAATCACAGTCTCGTGACGTGCAGAGTGAAGAAATCCTGACTTAAGGTCAAGGGTCCCATAAACTTTGCCATCGCGACGAAATCAGTCGCAAGCCTGATGAGCAACAACAAGCAACTATTGACAATCAAGAAGCTTGCGAAGGTGTTGCCAAACTGGGGGTTCAACAAGAACCCGGTTTCACTTCGAAAGGTGTCCCAAATGGGAAATATTTTCACAGCCATGTCCCCCAAGGGGAAAAACGTTTGGATGGTTTTCGACTTGACGAAGTCATAGCTTTGGAAATCTTCGCAGGCACGGCACGCCTGTCGAGAGCAGTGCGAGATGTGGGAATGAGTGCAATGGCCATTGACAAAGACTACCAGAGGGCCAAGCACTCCCCCATCATTTTATGGGCGCATTTTGCACCCTCCTGTGGAACAGCCCCAAGAGCAAGAGGCAGACCTTTGCCCGCAAGCCGATGGGCATGGATGGGCTTTCTATTTTGGACAAAATAAAGGCTGAGTGTGCAAACATAACCTATGAGAGCACCTGTGAGCTCATGCGTTGTTTGCACTACCATCAAAAGTGGAATGCTGAAGTTATCGATGGTCGTGTGGTTTTTCCAACTCGCGTGGAGGCTGCGTACCCCATTTTGTTGTGCGAGCGTTTGGCAACAATTGCAAAACTCAAGGCACTAGAGCTTGGTGCCACTGAGATACAAGATCTGGCGCGGCAAATTGAGCATGCACCTTCGTCTCAGCACAGGTTTTTACTGGATATGTTGCCAAAGGGACGCAAATTTAAACCACTGGTCTCTGAATATGGCTTCTACAGCCACCAACATGAATTTCTCTGAACAGCAATTTTTGCACAATTTCCCAAAGGAACAAAGATTGTGCATCGACAGGTGTACAAGGGTATTTTTCGGGTCGATGCAAGTGAAAACCATGACGTCAAATGTCACACGTCATGCATGTCGTAGCACTCTGCATATGAAATCCTGACACATACCACGAGAACCGGTGGACTTTTGAACACAGCTGTTTGTGCAGGACACCCCAGGTCCATTGCCATTCACCTACCAGATGCGGTGTTTACCTTGCATGGTTGGATGACAGAATCAAATGTTTTTCCAGGGAAACAAAGAGGCCAGAGTATACACTTGACATGGTGAAAAACATGGCCAAAGGCGTGAACAACATGATATACAGTCAAGTAGTGGGCACGCCGGATGACGAACTTTCTCGAAAAACTTGGGACAAAACGCTGAAAGAACCTGACAACAATTGGGTTTGGCATGACGTGACCAGTGAAACTGGTGACGTAGTTATGGCCAAACGCTTTGGCTTACAACAGAAGGAGAAGGTTAGGGTCATTGATGACTGTTCCGTGGGCGGCTACAACAAGGCCTATGGAATGAAAAAGAAACTTCGAGTTCACGCCATAGACCAATTGGCGGCGTACCTCAGCTGGATTTGCACCGCTCACGGTGCCACTGTGGACGATGAAATAGTTGGCAGGACATACGACCTGCGCAGCGCATACAAGCAGTTTGGGGTCAGTCTGGAAACTAGAAATGTTGTGAGGGTGGTTGTTTGGGATGCTGACCAAAAACGACCATGTCTTCTGGGACTCAATGCTTTGCCCTTCGGGGCGTCTGGTTCAGTAAGCGCCTTTTTGAGGGTCAGTGTGGCGTTATGGTTCATAGGAACAGTTGGCTTGAAACTTTGCTGGACGGTTTGCTACGATGACTTTACCTAGATATGCAAGAAACGCATGTGCCATGGGACAGGTAATGCAGCTGAAGCTCTTTGTGAACTTTTTGGCATGTGGTATGCGAAGGATGGAACCAAAGCCGTTCCTTTTGATGTTTCTGTACGTACGTTGGGATTGCATGTGATGCTTGGCAATGCAGCTGGGGGTTTCTACGTGTGACCCACTGAAGAACGTAGAGATTGGCCCTGTTTCCCTGGATACTTTCCTCATTGTTACAGATGGAGCATGTGAGGGTGATTCCTCTCGTGTCGGCAGTGTGGGAGGCGTGTTGGTAGATCCCTCTGGATGTTGCTGTCAGCATCTTTCTTCGGAGGTTCCGGTTGACTTCATGCGGAGAGCGTTGGCCTGTTCTGCCAACCCTATCTATGAGCTGGAACTGTTACCCATTTACATAGCCCTCTATGCCTGGGGTCGAATGCTAAAGTCCACCCACTTGGTATGTTACCTGGACAACGATGCAGCAAGAGCGGCGTTGTGCAAAGTGTATGGCAGCATTGAACTTGCCCAACGTATTGTTGGTTGTGCCATGCGACTTGAAAGTCGTTTCAAAACAGAGTTTTGGTACGCAAGGGTACCCTCACACTCTAACATCTCTAATGGTCCAAGCGGACTGGACTTCGAAGAGGTGGGGCAGTTGGGGTCGAAACAAATCGAGATAGACTGGGAAATCATCCTAGAGAATCTCTTTGGGTTTCGGGTGCGTTTTCAAAAAGGGGAGAGCACGGGCACACCGAATGATCCCCAACTGCTTTGGTTAGAAAAAAAGGTGTGAGCAGTGAAATCCATTCACGTTGTTTTGGTCGACTTGTCGTTGCGAATGTTTTTATTTTTTCGGAATTTATTTGGCGAAGTTTAATTTGTGAGCGCGTGCAAACGCAGTTGCGGTTTCAAAAAGGAATAAGTTGGGACTCCTCCTGTAAGGAGGATACAAACCTTATTCCTAAAAGAAAAATTTTGGGTGATCCAAAATTAGCAACTGGCGTTTGGTGAACACATGCGTTTAAACACTGTGCCAAACAACTTGAAAACTTTTTGAGGTTTTCTTTGAACTGTTTGTCCTGTTTCAACTGTCCATGGTTGTACTGTTTGTTTAACATATCGATGTTTTACAGTACTCCACTTTTGACCTCTGTGTGAAACACATCTGAATTTTATATTGCATGAGAACCGTTTTGGTTTAAGGGAGGGTTGTGGTGGGACCATTCGTGTATTTTTACTCGTTGATGACCCACCCAAACTGTTTACAGTTTTCCCACCCTTTTTCTTTTGGTTCTATGTTTTTCAAATCCGGGGTTTTGACAACTGTTATTTTCCGGACAGTTTGGTCCAAACCCGTGGGCACCGCCCAACGTAGTTCATCTTGTGGTCATGTCTGACCCATCGCAGGATCTCATCGAAGATTCCAATACGGACATGCAAAGGACTTTTAAGGTCCTACAATTCCCTTTTGACGAACACCGCAGCCAAATGGTACTTCAACTTCCGCTGTTGGTCGTTACCTATATCGTGCATCGATATGACTGGATGGATTTTGGCATATTCATCTTTCTGACCTCGGAAGATCACGCTTCCGTTTCCACGGTCAATTGGGCTGCGTGGAATGAGTACATGGAAAGGTATTCTGACAATTTAACTGCTGATTCCCCTCAAGCAGGGGTCGTGGCCCAGCAGTTGCCACTGCAGTTAGCCTAGCCCTGCCGTACGAGCACGGGCACACCGAATGATCCCCAACTGCTTTGGTTAGAAAAAAGGTGTGAGCAGTGAAATCCATTCACGTTGTTTTGGTCGACTTGTCGTTGCGAATGTTTTTATTTTTTCGGAATTTATTTGGCGAAGTTTAATTTGTGAGCGCGTGCAAACGCAGTTGCGGTTTCAAAAAGGAATAAGGTTACATTCCCTGGGAGGATTATCCTGTCAAGGGTTGGTGGCTGGACAACCTCTGGACGGAGCACAAGCTTTCGCATGATGTCTATTTGGAATATTCGTGCCTTGGTTGCTCAGGTAGACACCCCGTTTGAAGAAGAGTCTGGACTACAATGTTAGACCCGCCCCACCTGCTAGAGTCTCTATAAGGTACCTCCCACAGCCCGCTCGAGTGTTTAAGGTACCTCCCACACCCCGCCCCCATTGTAGTATCTTTGTAAAGCCCAAACGGGGTGTAGGACCCGACCAGTCTAAACGAGGACCCGAAGGGACCCGAGGAGGACCCGAAGGGACACGACCACTGTAAATGAGGACCCGAAGGGACCCGACCACTGTAAATGAGGACCCGAAGGGGCCGGAGAAGGGCCCGACCATTATACATTAGGACCCGAAAGGACCCGAGAAGGACCCGGCCATGGTAAGTCCAACCCTTGTCAATCCAAGCTGCTTTGGAACTTTGTGTCACACATTTGCATTTGTAGTCTCTCTTTTTTGGTAGTGTTGTTGTGACTTGTACAGAGTGCATATACTGGCATTGCACCCTTCATTGATCTTATCACATGAACCGCACAGTCGACCAATGTGACGTTGCAGTGTGTCCCCGCTGAGGTACAGAGTCCGTATTGGTTTCATGGGGAGGCAGCGCCAAGTAGATTGTGTGCGAGAACATGAGCGCAAGCTGGCATTTCAGGCGCAGCAGAGACAAGTTGCGGACGCATTGGCGATGCTGATGCGCCCCTTCCGGCCAGAGGTGCTTAGCAGGCTGCAGCCTTGGGTGAGCCAATACCAATCCGTGCAGTTGAGATACAAGTTCTTAGTTCTCCGTGGAGGCTCTCAGACTGGGAAGTCAACGTTGGCAAAAAGCTTGGGTCACTTGTTTGGGTCGCGCCGGCCATTTGTTCAGACGGTGCAAAGTGCGGAAGCTCCAGATTTGAAAGCTTATAGTCCAGAAGAGCATGGCTATATCCTATTTGACAACGTGAACCACATGGATTTTATTCTCCATGAGAGCGCTCTCTTTCAAGCCAACAATGATCTGCACACCCTGGGAGCATCGCGGACAGGTATTTATTCATATTCGGTGTGGCTCTTTCGTTGCCCTTTGGTAGTCACTGTGGATTTGTCCGCTGTCTGGGAGGGATCAGAGCCGTGGCTTGCGGACAACATGTTTGAGCTGTTTCTCGATGGCCCATGCTATTTGTGATTTGCTGTCCAAGAGGAAAGAGCCATGCTATCAGTGATTGGAAAAGATCTTGCTAGCGCCCAGATTCGCGGTTGAGGCAGGTCAGCAAAGGTTGCAGCTCAGCGTCGACAGTTGTTGCCTATTGCTTAGTCTTTTAAATTTGCTACACATGTGACATGGAATGGCTTGCGACAAGCCCTCCGTTCTGTTGCAAGGGTTTGGTGAATTGCCATCTGAGTAGGACTCTTTCCGTTGTGTCAGTTGCCTGTCTTCGCTCTGCAGTATTGTTGCCTGAATTTCTGTCGACACGGGCTCTTAGCGGTGGTTTCTAGGTTTGAACGTTTGGCTGACGCCATGGCAGCAGAGGCAAAAGCTAAAGCAAAGGCTGCCGCGAAGCCGAAGGCTAAAGGCAAGGCCCAGGCAGGTTCAGTGTGTATTTTTGACGCTTGGTCAGGGTGCCAGTTTGGGGTCATGAAATCGTCCAGGTTTTGGTTGCGTTACAGACGGCCTCTACAGTATGTATCGATCCAATTCAGTTCTCTTTTGTATGCACATTGTCGTTATGACTAATGTTGCAACTGCATTAATTCGGTGAATTTGCAAAATGCAATTGTCTTTCCGGCTTGATAAACGACCTGGCGAGAGCCATCTGGCGTTGGACGGAAAAAAATAAGACGGAGCTTGGCTTTCTGGGCAACGACAAGGCGGTATCTTCGTATACAGCGGGTCGACCAAAAACACAAAAGGCACAGCAACACGCCGAAGCCACAAAAACAACCACAGAAACAACAGGGAAAAGAAGAAGCCACGGGAGCAGGCCAAGGGAGAGTCACCAAGGGAATCAGTACAAAGGTACAAACTATACAACGTGAAAGAGGGGTCAGCACGACTCTCTGATATCATCGCTAGGCTGTGGCCTGATGCGTGTCAAGATGACAACTCTGATATAGCTCAGATTCGAAGAGTGGGTCAAGATATTCACACTGGAACATGGGTGGCGATAGTACAGAGGCAACACCTACCATCAGCAGTTCAACGACTCCTGGATCCGCGAACGTTTAAGCATCTCAATGTAACGAGTAGCCTTGTCGCAACAGCGCTCACGGTTATGTTGATTGCCACGGCACCGGAGGAATTTGGACTCCCGGAATGCGCGGACACAGTGGAGGCAGCTGGCCTGAAAGGCACCCATAGGTGGGGTGTCATCTTGCCGAACAGTTCGAGAGTGTCCCTGCTCACTTACAAAGCTATAGTAGCAGTACGGTATCCGGAACTTGTTGCCCACGTGCCCTTCACCTTCAGAAGGCTTGAAGGGGGGCTTGAAGGGGGGGCTTCAAGGGGGGCTTCAAGCCCTTCTCAAGGGGGCTTCAAGGGGGCTGGAAGGAGGCTTCACCTTTGTGAAGCCTTCAAGGGCTTGAAGGGGGCTTCAAGGGGGCTTGAGAAGCGCTTCAAGGGGGCTTCAAGGGGGGCTTCAAGGCGGCTTGAGAAGGGCTTCAAGGGGGCTTCAAGGGGGCTTGAGAAGCGCTTGAAGGGGGCTTGAAGGTGAAGGCTTCGAAGCGGGCTTGAAGGGGGCTTGAGAAGGGCTTCAAGGGGGCTTCAGAAGAGCTTCAAGGGGGCTTCAAGGGGGCTTGAGAAGGGCTTCAAGGGGGCTTCAAGGGGGAGGGGGCTTCAGAAGGGCTTTAAGGGGGCTTCAAGGGGGCTTGAGAAGGGCTTGAAGGAGGCTTCAAGGTGAAGGGGGCTTCAAGGCGGCTTGTTGGGGGCTTCAGAAGGGCTTCAGAGGGCTTCAAGGGTGCTTCAAAAGGGTTTGAGAAAGGCTTGAAGCGGGCTTGAGAAGTTTTTGAGAAGGTTGAGGGGCTTGAAAAGGGCTTGAAGAGCTTAAAGAAAGTTTAAGGGAGGGCTGATGGGAGAATGGCTTCAGGGGGGCTGGAGAAGGGCTTGAAGGGGGCTTGAGAAAGGCTTTAAGGGAGTTTGAGAAGGGCTTTTAAGGGCTTGAGAAGGGGTTGAAGGGACTTGAAGGAAGTTACTCGCTTCCTTATTGCCTTTTTCCTTTTTCCGCATGTAATGTGTTTTCCTCGCTCGAAGTTTGCAAGACTCACGGCAGAGCTGGCTGACGTGAGAGATTTGGGGACAGAAGCTGCTTTGTACCATTTCACATGTCGGGTTAACCCGCTTCATATTGGATTCTGTGATGATAGTAGTAGTAGTAGTAGTAGCAGTAGCAGTAGCAGTAGCAGTAGCAGTAGCAGTAGGAGTAGTAGGAGTAGGAGTAGTAGTAGTAGTAGTAGAAGTAGTAGTAGTAGAAGTAGTAGTAGTAGTAGTAGTAGTAGCAGGAGTAGTAGTAGTAGTAGT